CGTTCATACTTAAGTAATTGTTTTATAAATACTTGTAACAAAAAGCTGAGTTAGCAAAAATATTCAAAAATAATACTATCCCTTGAACGAACATACTATAACAATTTATATTGTAACAAATATTTTTACTTTTTCATGTTAAATTTGTATTAATTTTTACATTATCATTTGTAGATATAATGTTGAATGGTATGTGGCACCGTTACACATACAAAAAATGATGTTATTTCTATTGCAAAAGGGTACAAAGGCTTTTCATTTGATTCTCGGTGGAATATTCATTGCGTCTATGGAAAGTGCTGCTACGGTAAGACATATACAAACCTTTTGTTTCCCGCGAATATTATTGTATAATCGAAAATAATAACATTCACAGTCATTCAACATTTTGACTTTAGAATTATTTAGATAATCCACTAAAATAGCTATATTAAAATAAGTTGAGAATAAAAAGTAAATTAGCTGAGCTGAAAAAAATAAAATAACAGAGAAAACTTTTAAATTGGTACTATATATTCATTTGATGTGTTGCACTCAAAAATATTATACAACAAATCAACATTCTTTATTTAAAAATATACTGATGCATTAATCCGAAAAAATTAATGATTTAAATAAGTAGGAGAAAGTCGCCTACATCACACCCTTTAACGTTTAATCAAAATTGTAATAAAAGCACTGAAAAGATCAAAACATTTGTGTAATTAATTACATTAAATTTTGGTTCATGGGAAATAAAACAATACTTTTAAAAAAATAAACATTAAATTTTTGTTTAAATCAGAAATTTTTTAAAAAAGTAGATTTCGATACGATTTGGAGACCGGATTATTAAAATGTACCACTAGGTTCGTAAATCATACCGCGCACCGGAAGGAAAGAAAAAAAATGGGCGAACCTTCCGTAATCATTAAATACATATGTGTGCAAAAGATTCCTGTTCTCCTTCCCTCTCGTAAAACCAAAGTCAATTTTTTTAAAATTAAGTCTCACTTTGCGTGCAAACTTAGAAACTTATGTGGAATCGCGCTTCATGTGGAAATTTGTAACCCCCTGTTAACGGTATAAAAGGGAGAATATTAATAAACAAACGTTAATATATCGCTGTAGAAATAGTTAATAAAACATATGCACCCTGAAGTGAGTATGCAGATTATGAAGATGTGACCGCCGCACATGTTCTTATCGCAGTATTCCGCAGTTATGATTTTTTAACTTCGATATAGTCATTAACTTTAACGCTTAATATGTCGCAAAGCAGTGCACACTTTTTTGTCAGATTCTTTTTTTTTTTACAAAAATGCGTCAAATGAGCTAATTTCATCGAAATCGAAAAAGGTAGTTCTTCTGGATAATTATTAAAATATATAGTAGATATATAATATTAAAACCTTACTCTTCGCAGTCCTTATATTCTTCAGAATTTTTGCGTTATAGATCTTTTAATAATTCTTCGCATCCGATGCTAATCAAACGTAACAATTTCGCGTAAGAGCCGCGAAAAGATTATAAGAGCTCGCGTCGCTTGCGAAAATCGTACCAGTACAATACAAAGACCAGCGACAAGTACGATTTACCCAACTCTGTTTATTTTTACAAATTTGCCATTAGCAAAATAACTTACAAATATTTTGCTAATTTTATGTAATATACTCGAAAAGAATTTAAATATCAATTATCACCCTGTGTAGTACAGTAAGTACGCAACTACCACCAGGTACTGATAATATTTTAAGTAAACTGTACAAAGACTGGATCAGACACCGAACAAAATCAATATTGAATATCACTCATAAACAGACGGCTCGAAGACAAAACAAAAATGACAATTCTTAAGCCATTTTAATAGCGTCACATCAGTGATCTTAAAAAAAATGTTTCGTTTAAAAAGTACAATAGAGATACGATATAACCATTGACACGATTTATCCTACTTCATCCTATATTGTCCTTCCATTCTATTAACAGATATTCTCCACACAGCTTCAATATAGCTTCTTACAGAATAAAACAACACAAAATATTTTCATTACAGTTGATGGGTACTTCAATATCTTATTTCACTGTTCTCTATTCTTCAAGTACAAAATAATAATTGAAAAATAATTAAAATAGGTATGTATAAAAGTGAAAAAGATACGAAAAAGTAAAAGAGAGAAAAAGGAAAAAAAAGAAAAATATAAATTAAATTGATCAAAATCGTTTAACACTCAGTTTTAGGTATCACTTGTTAGTATCGTTTAGATTCGACAAAAAATAAAAATTATTATTGAAATAAAAAAATCAACATGTTATAAAATATTTATGTAAAATATAAAGAATTTAAAATTGATATTATATTAATAAGTCACAGCATTGAAATATATATATGTGTTAGAAAGGGTCGTATTGCATTTGCGAAGTCTATTATCGCACGATTCCCCCGAATAAGGTATGTATTTATTTATGGAAAATAAACATCTGTTTCATTATTGCTATAATCAAATCGATCGCTTAATCATACACCTTTTCCAGAAAAGTGAAATACCATCATGTGTTTTTTTATCCGACGATAATATTTCCGTCTGCATTACATTAAAATTAAATTAAGCAGTTCACCTTATAATTTACATAAAAAGGTATTTCATTGTATTTCAAGCACGTTTAATATTTTTAACTATAAATAAATAATTCAATGACTCGCATAATAAACAAAATATAAAGTTCCAATTTGTAGATTTGAATAATGCAGCGAGATGTATCAGAAAGGATAATAAATTTTTCATATTACTGTAATCTTTTTATTTATAAAATTATTTAATTATGTTTAATTAATAGTGTATGCAATTTAAAAAATGTACTGTTACACCGTTAATATGTAATAAGTGATATATAGTGATATTGACAATATCTAATAAATTTATTTCATTTTCAAATGATAAAATATTCCGTTTTAAACTATCGACAATTTCGATCTTTGATTATCTATCGAAAAACGATTTTTAAATCATGGGTACAATAACCTGACATATCTCAATGATTTGCACTCCATAATATGTTCATAACAGACCTATAAAAAAAACATTGTATTCTACGCGCACACAGACACACATAACCAACTCACACAGACACACATAACCAACTCACACGCACGCGCGCGCGCGCGCGCAGGCACGACGCAGGACATACATATATATACATATACATACACATATATTTTTCCTTTTCTGATTTAATACGAAGATAAACTCACTATCAATTACACAAACTATTAGAAATGTAAATTAATTTTTTTTTATATAGTATTATCAGAAACTTTTATTTATAACACAATTGTATATAATTATATACAAAAATAAATATAAATTATAAATAGTTTCAATATATAACGTAACATAAAATATTAATAAGATATACATTTCATTACTTTATAAATAAACATACTTTGTTGATATTTTAAGATAAAATTTTATGACCACCGCTACTTTAAAAGATCAAACGTACCTTATGAGTGTACGAACTAGAATGAAACGCATACACAATAAAAAGCGATGAGTGCGCTTGCGCAACCATCTATGGAGTTTCTTCTGCAAATGTTTTTCCATGGGATATAAACATCTGTTAAATTTCTTTTAATGTTAAATCGATTGTTTAATCATGTTTTTCTTATAAAACAATGATGAATTCTAAGTACTTTAATCTTGTGACGTAGTTGTATTTCGCTTTGCATGCTGGCATATTGAGCAATTGAATATACAATTTATTAAAAGAAAGAAATTTAAATAGTTTCAACCCACAGTTAGTTTAATAACATAAAAAGAAGAGAATAGGCAATTTCTTATTTTTCACGGTTAAACTTCAGTATTTACAACGATGATTTGCCTTGAGACACAACACTTCAGGCTCAATAAATTTCTTTTGCTCGCGATTGGTTTATGGCCTCACCAGAGATCGAAACTTGCTCAAATTCAATTTATCGTACTTTTTACTATTTTAACAACTTTTATTGTGTTTCAGGTCGTAATAAGTTATTTTTAAACGAAACAATAATTAACAGATTAGAGTTTGAAACTTATTAATCACGCTAAAGAATCATTCTTTTAATATGAAATTTTCAATAAAATTATTTATTTGCAGTTTACAACGTTTTTTACTTCTAAATGCACTACAGATCTCATTATCAATGTTCTGTCTTCCGCATTTTTCTGTATTTGTTATGCAATTACATATCATTCGTTCTGGATTAATGCCAATACTGTAAGTCAAATACTTATTATACAGTTTCCAGACAAATATTTATTATAAATAAATCTTCAAATATAACATTTTTTAAATATTTTATACTAAAATTGCATATAAAATTATTGATGTAATAGATGAGAATTTCATTAGAACAACTTCAGCATGTTTGTAACGAAATAAAAAATAAAAATGAAATTGCTATAATCAAGAAGTATGGCCGTATAGGAAAACATCAAACGAGAATAATTATGAGTAAGATAGTGTATATATGCTTACATTTTAATAAATTATCAATAAGAAAAAAATGTATAACACTTAAATAAATTTTACTTAAATAAATTCTTGATACTTATACATATAACATTTACTTTCTAATTTAATGTCAGTATTTGCTGCATGTGGCATATCTATTTATCTCTTTCTACCAATCTGGCCTCGTATATTCGATGTAATTCTGGCTATAAACGATTCCCGATCACGCTCTGCGATTTATATTGCAACAGAATATTTTGTTGATCAAAAAAGCTGTTACTATTTAATCCTTTTGCATACAAATGCAGCCTTGTGCATAGGGGCAACTGCAATGTTAGCAACAGGCACAATGCTGATAGCGTACCTCAAACATATTTGTGGAATGTTTAGCATTGCAAGGTAGAACTCAATACAATCATTTGTTTTAATAAGTAAAATCTATTGCTTGTTTATTCAATCAAATCTAGAAATAATAATAACTTACAGAAAAAAAAATGTATTTACACAGTTTCCGTATTAAGAAGGCAATGGCAATTAATATGCAGCATGATGTTAATGAAGAAAAAATGGTTATAATTTATGAAGAAATAATTTGTGCGATAGATATTCATCGCAAAGCTACAGAGTTAGTACACATTCTGCAATATCTGTATAACGTACTCTACTAATATTTGTTTTATTTCTGAAGGTTTTCTCGAGACTTTATAAAGAGTTATGAAGGATATTTCTTCTGTTTAATGGTGGCTATTATTGTTTGCTTAAGCAGCTCTCTTGTTCAAGTAAATTTTTTTTTCTGTTATTAAATATGTTATTAAATTATTTTCCATGAAAGATACAGTTTTCATAATATTAAGATTAAATAAAAAAATCTTTAATTAGAACAGTATCAGAAAATAATTTTCTATAAAAATAAAATCATTCAAAGACTCATGATTATTATTTTTTCATCTTTTTTTTATAATCATAAGCTATATGCATTATTCGCATACGTATGTCATAAAAATACAGTTTTCTAATATACGCAACCAATAAAGAAAATAATTTATTATGAAATGCAAAATGTGTATAATTTGTTTTAAGGAATTAAAAAAAAACTACAAAGCTTTCTTGCCTATTAAAATACACATATAACATATATTTTATATTTTTTAGATCATATCATGTAATAGCATAGAGCAACTTGG